TATCAAATAATAGTTTAATTAGTAACGAGAAAAAAAGTGATGAACAATCGTATCCTCTTTTATATAATTTCTTAAAAAGCTTTAAATGTCTGATTCAAAAATAGCAATTCATATCCAAAATGATTTTCATGCAGGGGTTACAATGGTAGCTCACTTGAGCTAGATGTTTAAAAATACCCTATATCAATCAATCTCGACGTATTGCACCATCGGTAAGTCAGTTTAGAATTTAAATTAATATATCATGATATTTTACGGTCAGTGTTCAATTCATCGAAGAAAATTTACTTATATTTATTATTCAAATCGATGTATAATAAGCATAATAATTTCATTAATATAAATGTTTCAAAGTACAGTACGCATCTCTTACTAATTTATCAAGTGTGCAGAAATAGTCGACAAATAGCTTGTAATTAAAGTCGATTCGCATAATAAGGAGGATTATTATTTCATTGTAAAGAATCAATCTTTATTTAATAAAATTGATTTATTAATGATCAACTCTTAAAACATAAATTTATGTACAAAAATGTGAATTTCAAATGTTAAAGCAGCAGGGCACTAGTTGAGCACTATTTATAAAACTAATCACGATAAAAGTAGTAAGAGAAAAATATGATATGGAGTGTTAAATATCTGAACAGCCCATTTTTAGAATAGATAACTATCCTGCGCAGGCTAATTTAAACAGTAAAACGATTTACAAAATGAAATTGAAGTAAAAAATTTTATTACTATTTGAATGCGCATTGATTTACTCGAAATGATTTAAATGTAATAATGGTTATTTTAACACGTACCATACCATATCATAATGATAGAGCGAAGAAATCATTTTTTTGTTTTTTTTGAAGTCCTCTTATTTCTAGCTTTTTTTTGTCCCTTTTCTACAAGCTGTTCATCCAAAATTTCCAATTCGTCGTCCTCAGGCATATCTTCAGAACGGATACTCTGATCTTGAACATCATCAATCGGTTCGAGAATTCTCAAAGCCAAATCAGATAATTTTTTTTTACCTTTCTGAATTTGAACCGTTTTAGCGTTTATATCGGTAGAAAGCATCGGATTTGGAAGTGGTGCGGGAGACTCATTGATGATAGAAGATGTGCTGGTATCTTGGTCAAAAGTATTTGATCCCAATCCGCGAAGTCTTTTTGGCGTTCGTAACATAGTAGAATTAGTATCTTCGGCGATCAAATCGATATCTGAAGGATGTTCAGAAACAACTGAGGATAGGTTTGGTTGTGCATTCTGAATTACATTAGCATTGGTAGTCACAAAGTCGACATCCGTGATTTCAATTATAGTAAAATCAGGTGTTATACGTTTGATAAATCCAGACACAATAAAAGTCCTACCAATTCTGATACTGCTATTACTATGCAAGTACGAGAAACGGGGGGCATTGGTAGGATAAAATAACCTCAATTTCATACAAACATTCTTAGAGTTTGTTTGCGAGTTATATTGATAACATCCGGCATCAAAATATGTAGACTCCCCACATTCTTTCGGTTCACGACTAACTGCAACAATGAACATGCAGTGTGGAATACTAAGCGGAATTTCATTGGCTTCAAACTCTTGGTTAGGGTCACCAGCTGCGATAACATTGACATATGAAACAGTAATATACTGTTCCAGATTTTCGATTATAAATTTGCCCACGAATATTACGATATCTCCAATTGAAAATTCGGTATAAGGTTGGTTAAAAGGATAAAAATATTTCCAACGAACAATTTTAAAGTCATTTTCAGCCAATTGATATTTAGCAAAACCATGGGTTAGTGAGTTAGAATTATCTTTAGTAACTACGATAACAATTAATGAGGTATGTGAAGGCATTTTAAAAGATGGCGAAAGCAGTAACGAATTTATCTTTTTTTTTTTTATTTATATATGAAAAATTTTTTATTAGCTAAGCTTTTCATAATGCCGTTGCTTTGAATCATGTGCGAAATTTTGCATGAAAGCAAAGTGTAATGTAAAATTTTCAACTCTAGCCAAGGATCATTTTTCATTCGCATAAGGCGGGCTAGCTATCAATACAACTAAATAATGTTTATATTCAGTAGCTATAATATGGAAATGGCGGATTTTTTTTGGGAAGGAGGGCTGGATCTCGAAGCGGACTAGGGTGTGAAATTAATTATTAAGATAGAATTACAATATGTAGAAGGTTATTTTATTTTTTAGAATAATGTTTCTCTAGTAATCTTGATTATGCGGGATTGGTCCCATTCAATTGTTATTTTCACAGGATACATTACCCTTGCTTAGCTCTTTTTTGTTTTTAGTTTGTTGCTTTTTGTCAACTCAAATGAATAGAATAGTGATGGGAAAATTAGCCTTTTTTCACATTTCATGCGCATGGAATTCTGGCCTGCATTATGGTAGTTTGGTGCTAACGCGGGCCAGAATTATGAGATTCCGAAATATTCCGAATTCCGAAATATTCCCATGCGCATGAGCACATCACCAGTATAGAATAGTACACCTAATTTTTTAAAACACATCATACCGATATTTATTAGTTATAATTTCTAACCTTAATATATAGATATATAGTATACTATATGTGGAATAATTTTTTCTCACGAATTATAATTTATAAGTTACTAAAACAGGTATAGGCTCGACGATTTTCATATTATTTTATGCAATCAAAATCACTTTCTTTTTTAGGGGTTGGCTAAAGTCAGTTACATCATGGGATTATCCGATATATAACCTGAACAAAACAAAACGGGACAATAATGACAAAAATATAAAGAACGGTTATTTAACTTGGTCTGATTTACTAAATAAAGATGTTGATAAAACCACTTAATCTAATTCCAACCTTAATATCACTGATTTTAAGTACAGAAAAATTAGGTAATCTCATGTTGTATTCGATTTTAGCCACTCCCTTTTTAGTTAGCTTTATACTGTATGCGAGATTATAGATTTAACGCATGTTAAAAGATTCAGGAAAAATCATTTGAAGATTATTACCGTTACGTTTTTCATTATTTTAATTACATATCGTTTTTTGGTCACGCATCTATTAGAATGCATATTGCACATATATGCAAGATTGACCAATTATATCACATAAAGGGGACATTCGTATACGGGCAGATCAGCAAGCAGTAAAG